TTCAAAACAAGTTTTTAGGGATTCTCTATTAGGTCCTAATCTTCTTTAAACTTCATCTCTAACTCTGTTTTGGTCCTTGCTTTTCATAATGCTAATTGTTCTTTTTTTCAAGCAAACCTATGAGACTCTCATCACTTAAATTATAATGATATATTAAAGACGGGTGGATTCTAGGATTACTTTAAAAAGCAGTTAATTGCTGGGTTTGCATTTTACAGTTAGAAAAATAAGAGAGGACACAACTTTTCAGAAAGCGCTGAATCATTGTCATTTCACTACAAAAATTTCTGTAAAATTGTTTTGGTCAATTGAAGTTTATGGTTTCAATGCAAGAACATGCGAATAAATCATCAAGGAGCTGAAAAATGTTTTGGCAGGATGTAAGTTTAATAGCCCTAAAAGACAATACTGTCATAGGGGCTGACTTTTTATACCATCTACGGACGATTTACAGAACACTGACCTGTGAAAAGACTGCACAAATGTTACATACGAATGCTTTCTGGACAGATAAGGAGGCGTGTTACTAAGCTTGAAATTAATAATTTTAAAACGAACTGCAAAAATACATCGGGTTAACAGAGAAATTGAAATTGATATACTGAATAATTTTATTTTCGATGTTATTTAATTTTAAATCAAATTCATCTCTTTCTTTGTTATTTTCCATTTTACCAATCCCAGAACTTGGCATCATTAAGAGATGAGGAATATTTATGGCATTAACTGTGAACAGTTTTCATATTTGCATGAAAATAAAAAGTGCCTTGAAAGGTTAAAGAGGATAGATTTTTTATTATTATTATTCTCTCTGCAGCTTCTTTTACTAATTCAATTGCACTAAACATTTTGATCAAAAAAGAAACAAAGAGATAAAAGAATAATAACTTTGATATGTGAAAAAACTTTCCTTTATGTTTGTGTGCAAACGTGATGTCAGAATGTAGCTTCTTATATTGTCTCTCTGAAGGTATTCAAAGTCTAAATTTGAAAGAATGTTTCCTGCTGAGATGTAGCGTAATGAGCAGATTCTGCCACTAGGTGGCGACAATGCACTTGTGTTTTTCAGATTGTATTCTGGATTTCTTATATAATCATTCCTATGCAATATGTGTTCTTTTTTACTCTGTATGTATTTTTGTTTTACTTTCATTCTATATAGAAAATATTTGTGCAAACAAATAAACAAATTTATTTGCAATTGGACGTCGGAAGATCATCCAAAAGGATTCAGCTCTTTTGTTTTTATTATTCTTTGTTATTATTATTATTATCCTGCATTCTAATTTATCTGTGTTTCTAATTATTTATAGCACTTTGAAAAGTCTTGCTGCTGAAATCTGCTATGTAAATAATCTAGCCTTGCCATTTTTCTGTCATTTTGAAAAGACATTTTGTGTCTTTTCAGCAACAATGACATCGGCCCATTTAAGTCTACTATTTAATAATATCACTTAGATTTTTTTTTTTTGCCGTATTTGAAATTAAACTTTAAAAAAAGCAGAAGCAAAACTGTAAATAGTGAAAATCATGTGCTGAACTTTGCATTTTTCCTTTTATGAAAGATTCAAATTTTGTTCAGTTGTTTTCTAAAGAAATTTTGCACGGTAGTAATTTTTAATTCAGTATCTGAATGAAAGGCAAAGCTAACTTTAGCAATACTTGATCTCCGAGGGTCACAATTGGCCCCTGGGCCTCAACTAAAACGCACCTGGTGTAGATAAACATAACGCCCAAACACCTGGGCAATTGAAGAAATTAATGAAATAAATGTTTAAAAAAAAGAAGGTGAAACATGCTAGCTTAAAGTCTAACCTCAAATGTAAACAGCAGTAAACCTTTTGCTGTCTCTGTTCTCAGAAACAAGTGGTGAGTAAGAACTTAATTGTCTGTGAATGTCAAAATTTTAGATTCCATATAAGGAAAAGAAAACGGTTCCGTGTTATGCAGTTTCATTTTCATAATAAATTTGCCTTTTGGAATCATTTCCCAAAAGTATAGGATCGTTTAAATCAGACTTGACATTTTTGTTAAACTTTTTGCCACACATTAAAGAAAAGGCGTCTGTCCTTCAAGCCTAATTCTCAGCCCAGACATGTGAAGCACAGGGGAATATTTTATTATCAGGCAACTGACGGTCAGACATTATTTTGATAGTTATGAAGAAGTCCTATTTTAGAAGTGTTGTATAGAACCCCCCTCTAAAAAGATCAATAATGCGCTCATGACTTTTTTTGTAAGTTACAAAAACTGTTTCTGTGTTTCCGTAAATGACTCCTAGGCTCTCTCGATCTCGCTCTCATGGGAAAAAGTTTGCTCTCATGCCAATGTATCCAGTCCCCATTTATTTCACAGGCTGAGAAGCTATTTTGAAGACATAATATGACAAGCGTCCATTTCACTGAACTGGAATGCAAACTAGTTATTTATATTTCTCTTTTTCCACTGTTTCATTCCAGGTGTGTCCTTGGACTTTGAGCAGAGATGGGGGACTGGTCTCTTCTTGGGAATTTCCTTGAAGAGGTCCAGGAGCACTCCACTTCCGTGGGAAAGGTTTGGCTCACCGTCCTTTTCATCTTCCGCATCCTGGTTCTGGGCACGGCAGCGGAGTCCTCCTGGGGCGATGAGCAGAGTGACTTCCTGTGTGACACTCAGCAACCCGGTTGCACCAACGTTTGCTATGACAGTGCCTTCCCTATCGCCCACATCCGCTACTGGGTGCTGCAGATCGTGTTTGTCTCCACGCCCTCCCTGATCTACATGGGCCATGCTATGCACATAGTTCGTAGGGAGGAGAAGAGGAAGAGGATTGAGCAGGAGGAGAGGGAGGCGAGGGAGGATGATGGAGAAGACCTGCAGAGGGAGAAGGAGTACCTCCAGCAGAAGGAGAACAGGAAGGAGATAATATCTGAGGGAACTGGTGCGGTTCGCTTAAAAGGAGCCCTGCTCCGCACTTACATCCTGAGCATCCTGATCCGAACAGTGATGGAGGTGACCTTCATAGTGGTGCAGTATCTAATCTATGGGGTGTTCCTCAAGGCGCTGTACCTCTGCAAGGCATGGCCCTGTCCCAACCCCGTGAACTGTTACATGTCGCGGCCCACCGAGAAAAACGTCTTCATTGTCTTCATGCTGGTGGTAGCCGGCGTGTCTCTTTTGCTGTCTGTGTTGGAGCTCTACCATCTTGGTTGGAAGAGCATTAAGGCTTGCATACGTAAAAGGATGGTAGAAAAGAACAACCAAAAAACCATGACCGTGGTTGTAAAATCCAGTAACCAGCCCCAACCTTCTGACTCCTGCACCCCACCCCCTGATTTCGAACACTGTCTGACACCGCAGGAGTCCATGAACCCCATGACCTCCATCGCCTCCCATCCTTTTAACACCAGGATGGCTCTGCAGCAAAACTCAGCCAACCTGGCAACTGAACGGCACCACAGTTGTGACAACCTAGAGGATGAGCAGGATTTCCTGAGGATCAGATATGAGCAGGCCCCTGCGGAGCTACCAAACGGCTGCTCATCGCTGATGCATTCAGGCTTCCTGAAGGACAAAAGACGCTTGAGCAGGACCAGCGGCACCAGCAGCCGGGCGCGCCAAGACGACCTGGCAGTATAGATGGTCTCAAAGAGAACCAAAATGAGGATAGAGCCATGACTTATAAGCACAACTCTAAAGCCTCGCAAAAATATCAACATCCCTTCAGCTTTTATTACATGTTTTCAAGTCAGAACCACAAGTTTTACAGTTTATCAAAAGTTATGGGGATCAACCAGCTTAAAGTGTTATTTTAGGTGAAGGAAAATCAATCAATCAAGTTTATTTGTATAGCCCTTTACAATAGCCAAATGGTACCCAAAGTGCTTTACAACAAAGCCATAAAACAATACATAACACATACAAAACATTAAATAGTTAAGACATTAAATAGTTAAAAGTCTGAGGCGTGCATCATATTTACCTTCACAAAACTAGATGTTAAATTTAGTCCACTCCCCTTTCGTTAGGTAGCACATGCCCAGCCATAATGGATGAGGAAGGTCTATGACCACATGTAGACGTTTCCCAAAACATCAGAATTACATTTACTTTGAACAAACACCAGCGAACTGCATTGTGTAAAAATGGTTGTGTGCTTCTGGTTATTTTCTATCAAAAAGTGAATTTCAAAACAAGTTTTTAGGGATTCTCTATTAGGTCCTAATCTTCTTTAAACTTCATCTCTAACTCTGTTTTGGTCCTTGCTTTTCATAATGCTAATTGTTCTTTTTTTCAAGCAAACCTATGAGACTCTCATCACTTAAATTATAATGATATATTAAAGACGGGTGGATTCTAGGATTACTTTAAAAAGCAGTTAATTGCTGGGTTTGCATTTTACAGTTAGAAAAATAAGAGAGGACACAACTTTTCAGAAAGCGCTGAATCATTGTCATTTCACTACAAAAATTTCTGTAAAATTGTTTTGGTCAATTGAAGTTTATGGTTTCAATGCAAGAACATGCGAATAAATCATCAAGGAGCTGAAAAATGTTTTGGCAGGATGTAAGTTTAATAGCCCTAAAAGACAATACTGTCATAGGGGCTGACTTTTTATACCATCTACGGACGATTTACAGAACACTGACCTGTGAAAAGACTGCACAAATGTTACATACGAATGCTTTCTGGACAGATAAGGAGGCGTGTTACTAAGCTTGAAATTAATAATTTTAAAACGAACTGCAAAAATACATCGGGTTAACAGAGAAATTGAAATTGATATACTGAATAATTTTATTTTCGATGTTATTTAATTTTAAATCAAATTCATCTCTTTCTTTGTTATTTTCCATTTTACCAATCCCAGAACTTGGCATCATTAAGAGATGAGGAATATTTATGGCATTAACTGTGAACAGTTTTCATATTTGCATGAAAATAAAAAGTGCCTTGAAAGGTTAAAGAGGATAGATTTTTTATTATTATTATTCTCTCTGCAGCTTCTTTTACTAATTCAATTGCACTAAACATTTTGATCAAAAAAGAAACAAAGAGATAAAAGAATAATAACTTTGATATGTGAAAAAACTTTCCTTTATGTTTGTGTGCAAACGTGATGTCAGAATGTAGCTTCTTATATTGTCTCTCTGAAGGTATTCAAAGTCTAAATTTGAAAGAATGTTTCCTGCTGAGATGTAGCGTAATGAGCAGATTCTGCCACTAGGTGGCGACAATGCACTTGTGTTTTTCAGATTGTATTCTGGATTTCTTATATAATCATTCCTATGCAATATGTGTTCTTTTTTACTCTGTATGTATTTTTGTTTTACTTTCATTCTATATAGAAAATATTTGTGCAAACAAATAAACAAATTTATTTGCAATTGGACGTCGGAAGATCATCCAAAAGGATTCAGCTCTTTTGTTTTTATTATTCTTTTGCATATTATAATATACCAATAAACAATTATTGGTAAGAATAAGGAGTCCCTTTTGTCATTAATACTCAGATAAGATAAAAAAAAAAAAAAACAAGCACCGTTTGAGGATACTTTATAAAATATTAAAACAAGAAAACATATGTGCACAAATTGTGGCAGGTAGTTTTTACATACACAGAATGTCTATCTTTATCTTAAAAAAAAAAAAAAAAAAACATGTATCCAATTTTAGCTAAAAAAATGTATTTACTATGGTTCATTTGTAAAAATAAATAAATAAATAATAAAAAATAAATAAAATTATATATATATATATATATATATATATATATATATATAAATGTATCTGTTTTGCGTATTTTGATAAAACGACAGAAATCTACTTATATCAGAGTGAATTATAAGACATTTTAATCTGTATTCTATGTGCTTGTTATGAAATGTAATTTTAATAATCTAACAAGGGAGGAAAATACAAATATTACATTTTATAAAACAATAATAAAAGTACAGAAATAATTCAAAAGTCCTAGCAAATAAATAAATAAATAGATTCACGTACAGCTTTTTTCCTGTAGAGGGCGCTTCAACACATTCTTGCATTATTGAAACCCAACCGGCAAATATGACGCAGTTGTGGTCATCCTTGGGATATGTAGTTTATGGCTCCTCTGCGTCACTATGGCAGCCATTGTAAACCGTCGTATGTTTGCCTACAGTTCCCAGCGACATGTCCACAGGTACCGGTGTCAAGAGTTCCTGAGCGAATGACAGGTCAAGTCGGATTTTGTATCGGAGGCAGCTCATCATCTTTCACCCCCAGCGACTTTTTTTTTTTAAGTAAGTAACACGAGCAGAGCTAACTGATAGCTGTCCTGTACTTAAACGGTTTGTGGGTTTGAACTTCCGGTATCATCCTGTGATGTTGTAACTGGATAGTTTCGAAACAGTTGCCGTATTTAAACTCCGTATCGCCTCGTTTTGGCTTGACTTTGTGTTGAAACTGTGTGAGTGGACTAACGGTTAGGTAAATATTAATAACCTGACTGTATTCAGGACTTGACGGCCAAACCGGGTAATGTAAATATTTAAAGACAGACTCTTGCGCCCCCTACCGTTGACTTATCGACATAAAGGTATAAAACTGCTCTGACTTTGAATCATAGAAGTTAAACTGCCTTGGAAATCTCTTTACAGAAGCTGCTGTTTTTATTTCGAACTTTATTTTTTCGTGAAATAAACAAGGTAAGTTACTTTTTTCTTTTAAAGTTTAAATATAGATTTCTTTGTATTAAATTTAACATATTTAGTTATTTTTCTTGTGAAAAACTGGCCAAATGGTTAAAATTGTCTGGACTTGCGCAGTAATGTATAGTACTAATTTCAAGTGTTTTAAGTACTTTAGAAAAGTCTGTCAGAACCAGCTTTCTTTGCAATGGTAGCTTTTCTCTTATGATTTGGAGGGGAAAAATAATTTTTCTTTTTTCTTATTTAGCCAATGGTTTAAATCTGCTGTTTTTCTTCCCTGATCAGTGCAAAGAATAAGAGTTGGAAGATAATCTTGTAACTGCTTTGAGGTTTAATTCAATATTATGACTTAATGCTAAAAAAACAAAAAAACAAAAAATCATTTATTTTTGCATTTAGGAAAAGTGGAAATCTTTGAGTCATTGAAAACCTAAGCAATGCATTTGTTGTTAAGCGCAGATGACACAGTGGAAACAGTCATCCTTCAACCAGAAAGTTGGTTTTATTCCAGTTTCCTCCTGTCAAGCTGTTCGCTGATCTATTTTATTTAATTATAAAATTTTTAATTTAAATAATCTATCTTTATTACCTTAACTTGCAGCAGTTGCATTCAACTGATCTGAATAACATCCTTTAGGTTTTCATGTTTTCTACAATTGGGAATGGTAGAAATGTTTTTCCTCTAACAGGTTTGGTCTGTCAGGAACAGTCCCTGCACTGTAGAGGCCTTTTATAGACTAAACATGAAGTGTCCCATTTACACCCTATGGGAAAGTTAGCAGTACTTTTGTTTTGCTCAGAGTCTGTAATGTTACAAACTTCAATGTATTTTATTATAATTTGACTGGTCAAAAAAACTAACTTGTCTTTGTATTTGTGTATTTTTAATCATTAAATTTAATAGTTACAAAAATTTTCTTTTTTATATAGTCCGTTCTTATTTTTTGTGTTCTATTCTTATATTTTATAGTCCTTTGTGTTCCAGTGTGCTTTTATTGTCTGCTTGCTTTTCCAATGAATCTCCAAAATGTCTCCACTGGTACAATAAAGGGTATTTCTATCTTATTCTATTCCTATTCTATTAGTCACAAAGTACAAAGCTTTAAAGCCGCCTGAGCCAGTCTCACAGAGATCTATAAAAAGCTTCGCTGGATCATCTTTGCAGAACATATCTGCCTCATCTATGAGGAGATAGAGATCAGACATGAGATGGTTTAATTACTAACTCACCTTAACTGTGCATTTTTGTTTCTCCTCTATTTGCTTCTCTGGAAGTTCAATTTGGAAGCTTTTTGAGGTTCAGGAGAAATCGTTTTTCCACTTCAGAGGCATATTTTTAAAGCTCCAGAGAACTTTATTCTGAATAAAACCCAGAAAACTCTCTGAAACTGAAGCAGGTTCCAGTCTAAAGGGATTAGACCTAATGGGAGTGAATGTAGAATATAAGGTTTAATTTCTCTGGAAGCATAAACAGACACAAGCGGACACACGATGGAATATACAGGGAAATGAGGCACAGTTAAACACAATAGGAAGGAAAGCAAAGGTTTTATATTAGTTGAAGGCTTTTCTGCACAGATGTGGACTGTTCACTGTGACTTCTAAAGGCAACTGATTGTACTGGATTTTTATTCATCTTTATCAGACCAAAGATAAATATAAATCCATATATTTCAAATGCTGTTTTATTGCCTTAATAATTTGTATCATAGTTTTTCACCTTTGCGATTCACCTCTGTTGTTTCTGCAGCTCAGCAATGAGGAACTTTTTGACCAAAGCGGGCCTGTTAGGCTCGGTCTCAGTGGCCCTGGGCTCCATGTGGTGGTCACAGCAGAAGACAGAATCAGACACTTGCTCTTCAGATGCAGCCGCTGCTAGCCCTGCTTCTCTGTACGAACTCAAACTGGTCCAGGTCTTGTTCCGCCATGGCGCTCGGACGCCTCTTAAGTCCATGCCTGATGTGTTAGAGGTAGCCCTCTGCTGGTTTCTTCTCATCCATTTGGTCTATTAGTTACATGCTAACACTATGTGTTTCTGTCTGAACATAAAGGCTCGGTGGGATCCTACGCTCCTGGAGGCTCCGCCACACACACACATCAACTACACAGTGACTGACCTTAAGGGCGGACCTCGTCCAACGGCTCCTGTAGAGGACAGCTATCGGAGGAACACACTGAGTGTGAGTAGGTTCTCTTTACACGAGGATAAGGAACCAACTGGTTTTAGCTTCTTACTGCAGCTGCTTTACAAAATCAGGCTTTACAAATATGCTCCTTTCTGAGGTTATAAACATGCTGAAAGTCAGAAGACTTAAAGGGATACAATTTTTATGATGGACATAAGGTAAGAAAGGCAAAACCTTAGCCTTAGTTTTATTTATCATCAATATTCCTTTTGTTGGGCTTCAGTAACTTATTAATGCAACAGCATTTCTTTCCAGAGTAATTTACAAGAAATGAAACAGCAAAGTTTTGTACTATTTTTTTTTTTTTTTTTATGCATGTGGCTCTGCTTAATGATCGAAACAGGAAACGAGCTGTAGGAATAAAACAGAGGCACCTGTACTTCCTGGACAGAGCGAAGTTTGAAGTTTTCTGCTGCAAAAAAATGAGTTTAAATGAAATAAGATAAGGACATGTTTGAGAGAAATGTTTGTATCTGTAGAACATCTCTAATGACGTCCCTGCAGGTCATTAAAGACCTTCATCGTCCTCAGGGGTGAAGCTGCTTTACAGAAGCAGTTTACAAAACACCAAATACAACACTTTATAAAAGATTACAGAATCAATTAATTTATAGAATTTTTAGCTCATGGAAAAACAGCTTACAGCAGATGGGTTATATTGAGTGTTTTTATGTATGGGTAATATTTAACTTATTATACCCAACGATACAGTAATAAAGTTACCGTCTGCCTTTTCAGATTTTATGTGCCTTTGTGCAATAAAGAAGTGTTGGTTTCTGTTACACTTTTACATAAATGCATTATGTTACTTTATAATGCTCCCTCTAGTGGTAAAACTAAACCCTGCTTTAATAACTAGCTATGCCCATTCATTGGTTTAGTCACTGTTTAGGGTTATGTGCATTAAATATCCTACAACCTTTAATCCTTGCAATGCCAGGAACACATTATTACCTCCAACCATTATTTGACATTAACACAATATAAACGATATAAAGCTATTAAATGAAAATTTGTTTAGACAGAGACGAGCCTTTTGAAAACCCATTTCTTATAAAATTCTGATGCAGATGGTGAAAATTCTTTACCGTATCTGGAATATGATGATATTCTAGTTTGGTTTAATGCTTTTGGGCAAAAGGATGAAACAGTGGGATTCATTGATTCATCATTTTTAAATATCTGTCAGTTGATGTAGTAATTAAAGAATTAGTAACAGGGGAATACAGCTGCTAAAATATGCCGTTTGCTTAAAGAAAAACCCACTCTGTAGAATAATTAAACCAAACCATTTAAATATATGTATTTGTTTAGAATTTAATATGGAAACATTTTTTTTTTTTTACTTCATTTGGAAAGAATTCTGTGAAAGCAAAACAAAAAATATCCCATCAAACCAGCGGTGGCTGATGGAGTTTTTATACCAAAAAGCAATCAAGCGTATAATAAGTTATCACACCAGTATATTTTTATGAATGCCAACAACACAAACATTATCAAAACACTTAATTTAATGTACAGGTTTACTTTTTGTACATAAATCTTGCCCTTCTTAGGCTTTTTGAAGGCAAATCTGTGTTTAGCATGGTCCATATTGTTCCACAGACCTAAAAAAAAAAAAAAAATAATGTACCAGTTTAATAATGGAGAATCTGTTAGTCAGCTTTATATTTAAAAAAAAAAAAATATTTATTTTCTGAGAATGTGTTTATTTAAGACTTAGACAACCTTTATCGTCATTTTGTATACACAGAGTGTATACAAAACGAAATTTAAGAGCAACTATGCAGATTAACACCTAGAAAAAGTTCACTATATTATATTATTTTCCATGTGAATCCCAGATTCTTCATTCTTCTTTGCCTTTTCTAAAAAGTGCTTTAAATCAGTCATTCCTGTCTCTATCCATGCTGGGTCAGATCCTGACGTTTGAAAAAGGAGGCAGGGAAAGCAGAATAAAGCGTTAGCCTCGCTGCATGCAGTTAGCCAAGTCTTGTAGCTAAACCAGGTCCTGGAAAAAGACTGAGTGTACCGTCTCCCTCTGTCTTTGAACTGCTGATTAATTTTGATGTTCGGCTGATCAGGTAAGAACGGTTTCACCTCCAGCTTCTCTTGATAAGTTTGCTTTAAAGGAACTTCACTTAATTTAATTTTTCTAGCGCCATTTCTCTCTCCAGTCGTCTCCAACTTCCGTGACTCGGCCTGTCAATCAGCCGCACTACGACTGTGACGATACTTCCTGTCACCTCAGGTCGCTGCTTAGCTTCACCCAAGGATTGTCTAGTAGAGGAGCTACTCTGCATGTACAACTTTTAATGAGAGTCAATGGCCAAAGACTTTTACACCCTGAGGTGGAAATACAGCAACATTTCAACAATTAACGAAACCGCTTTACTTGTCATTAAAGATTAAATATTTATCTTCCACATCTAAAAATATATACTAATATATTTTAATGTAATAATTTCTCTCTATTGGCCAGTTGCCATTGCATCAAGCAGCTTTTGCTGTCTGATTATTAATTATTAGTTAGCAGATTAATCAGCAGAAATAGTTATTGCATCCCTAAATGAGAGAAAAACTGTCTATTTCTAAGTTAAAAAGAGCCACCGAGTTATGAGGAAACAGTAAAGGAGGACATGACGCTGAACAAGCCAGTCTTCTCATACCAAACCATCAGCCTCACCCCTCTGGTGCAAATTCCACTTTTAGCTCAGAGAGCATTAAAAGTGATCTGAATTATATGCAGCCAGCGATACAAAAAAGTATCTCTGTCATCATGCTGGCTAACAGTTCAACTGTGAAATACATTGGCTTAAAGTTGCTTCATTTGGTCTGATTACATTAGTTGCACTGGATAAATAATCATTCTCTGCCAGGCTCCTTTTAGATTTGTTCTCATAAAGTACAGAGTTTAACAGCGTGCTGTAACCCTGCTACAAGAAACCACAGACTGTTTGCTTACAGTAGTGTGAGTTGTTAAAAAATAATGGCTTAAAATAACAATAGAATCCTAAAACAAAAAGACAACACAGAAATCCAACTTTTGTACTAAACATCATATAAATCCCCTAATAACTGATATTTCTATAAATGACACGATTTACTGGTCTGGTTTGCCAGAAGGGAGCTGGTTTAAAGGCTTATAAAGCTACCACCCAACCAAAATAACACACTCCAAGTGGATCCTAGTTCTGCTGCGGGATTTCACTGTAATTCTCCTTATTTTTAAAGGAAGCTTTTATGCTGCCATGTGCAGAACTGGGCTTTCATCCTCCTGTTACGCTGCTGAATGTCTGCAACATGAGGACGGCCTCTAGCTGCTTTAATTTCTGTCATATTTTAGTAAAATCTTACTAAAGATACACAAAACCATTAGAAGAGGTACATAGTGAGGAGATGAGACCCAGATTAAATATAGAATTGTTTGGACAGTTGGATAATAACTGCACACTAGAATAAATACAGCTTCAAAATCATCACAGCAAGTTATACATTTTGAAATAGCCACAATTTTTATCATACATTCTCTTTTCCATCAGTAATTACATATAATTTTATATAGACAGACTTAGACAGTACTTTATAAAAAAAAAAATATATATATATATATATATATATATATATATATATATATATATGTGTGTGTGTATTGAGTTATGAGGGCATGAAAATCTAATTGGTTTTAGTTCAATAATCTTACAGCTTTTTCATTTTTAAATGAGCACATATTGAATTTTGCATCAGCTGCTGTGATCCAGTTATTATGCAGTTCCCCCTCTGACTGACTTCCGCTCTGAACATTCAGAGCAAGTAGAAGAAATGTGCTATTCCAAATATGTCATGGATTTTTTTTATAACACTGAACTGCACTATAAAATTTCTGGGTTAACTTTTGAATCTGACATGTTTGACATAGTCTTTTTATTATTTTATTTTGAAGGGTGGCAGTTTCCCTGGTCAGCTGACCACAGTGGGCATGCAGCAGCTGTATGAGCTGGGCCAGAGGTTGAGGAATAGATATATAGAGGAGACGCCTTTCCTCAGCCCCACCTTTACCTCAGCAGAGGTCTAGTAAGTGATGCTGATCATGAAAGTTTTTTTTATTCTAATGACCCAATGATCACGTGTAATTTCTTTTTTTCTTTAGCGTGCGCTCCACTAACATTGTAAGGACTATAGAGTCTGCCAAGTGCCTGATAGCTGGACTCTTCCAGCAAAAGCAAAAAGGTAGATTTAAAATGCTCGCATGTTTAGAGGGATCTACCTGATCTGGAAAGCCTGGTGTTGGTTTACTGATCTTGATATGGATGGATTAAATAACTGGACGATATTTTCCATCTCTTTGCCTAAAAGTTTTCATTCATTCCCTATTGTTATCCTTGAGCTTATTATTTTTGTCACCACTAGTGATTTTACTTCCTTGAGGCCTTTACGTCCTTCCTCTTGTCTTCCCTATTTTGCTCCCCTGTCTTTTCTTCTTTCCTGCCTTTCTTTGTGTCTGGATTTTTTTTTCTGTCATCCATTTTGTCGTTTTTCTCTTGGTGTGTAGATATTGTGTCCATCCTGACAACAGAGGCAGAATCTGAAATTCTCTACCCTAACTATCACGGATGCAAGCTGCTGAAAGTCCTCAGTGGGTAGGTGTAGTTTTCTAACATGCCACTGAGCTCCATCACTCACAGACCACTCTGGCCACCAAAAAATGGAATCTAGAGTAACGTCCAATTCAAAATCATGAGCAGACTGCAGACGCTTTTGGCAGGTTGTCATGGTGTGTCTGTGTTTTTTTTTTTTTTCCTTACAGCCCCCGCTGGGCTGAGTTGTCCACTCTGCCTGGCATTGCTTCAGACCTGCAGAGCATCCTGAGTGCACTGGGGATCGCTGCTCACCAGCACGTCGACTTCATCCTCATTAGGGATGACATGGTTGCCAGAGAGGTGACACTGTGACGCTGTGATCCATTCGACTTTTTACTGAGTCTCACCACAGGCTTTCAGTCTGGAGGCAGTTATTATAGAGACTAAGTTCAACCTGAACACTAGCTAGCTGCTGAATGTGTCGGTGCAATCCAACAGGTTTAAAGAGATCTAAAGATTGATCAGTTATTAGTGAGACATAATTAGTCATGGAACAAGACAATTTACATTTAAAATAAGAAAACATATTAACACATTGTCTTATTTCATGTGCATTTTATCTAAATATCTTATTTTAAGAGTAAAAATACTCATTCCATTGGCAAACTCTCATAACTAAATAATTATTGTCTAAATTCTAACTATTCATTATTTAGTGCTTATATTTCCTTCAGTGGCTTCTTAAATATGTTAATCATTGAATGTTTTTAGGCTTTGTGTTTCAAAGACCCATATAGGAATGGCTTATTAGTTTAAGGAAATGATAAAGTATATATTCAGGTCATATTCAAGTATATTTAAACCAAACTGTAGTCGGCATCAGTGGAACTCAGATAACGCCGTTTATAAAGACAACTATGTGCTTTTTTTTTTAAGGCATTAGATTTGGGTTTGTTTTGTTTGTTAGTTGTGGACCCAGTTATATTTTTAGTAGTCGTTTTAGGTTTAAAATAATGTAATCTAATTTGCTAACATTCAGACTCATGGCCTTCCCATCCCGCCGGTACTGAACTCCTGGAGGAATAAGGTGGAGGACAGAGCTGTGGACATGATGTGCCGGCTTTACGAACCCAGCAAGAGGTTAACAGCATCATTTTAATCATTTAATGCATGCTGGTTCTGCTCATTAAGGTATTTTTAAATGCTATATACTGTGACAGTGAGAAGCTCCAGCTGTCGGTGGGATCTCTCCTCCACCTGCTGTTAGACAACATTGAGAAGAAGCTACAGGACAGCTCAGCAGAGGCCAACAGGTTGGACACCTCACATCGAGCACCTTCACTTCTTTCCCAAAACAGAGATTTTTTTTAAGGATTAACTCTCTCAACAGGAAGTTGTTCCTTTACTCAGCCCATGACACCACTCTGATTCCCTGCCTCATGGCTTTGGAAATCTACGACATGAAATGGCCACCATATGCTGCTGATATCACTCTGGAGCTGCACCAACACCGGCAGACCGGAGACGCATTTGTAAAGGTGTCCTACATAGGCCAGGTAAGGCACGCCTCTAATCGACCCAACCATCAAAGCTGTTGGCTTTCCCTTCATCCAAGTCACATTTGCTTCATGCTTCCCAGGATCAACTCATACCAGGTTGCAGTGGAGTCTACTGCCCCCTGCAGGAGTTCAAAAAGCTCCTCTCCGCATACACATTAAACCCTGAAGTCTACGTTACTCGCTGCAACAGCACAGGAGGACCCACTGAACCCTGAACTTTCAAGAAACACAAAACCCGTCTTGACATTATGCTCAGCTCTCCTTCCATCCAGTCACCATTAAGGCTTGAACACATCAGTTAAATGAGTTGCTCGTCTTTCTTTACATTTAAATCTTGTTTAAATGATTTTTATAAACAGATTTTTCCTCAGTTGTTTTATTTACACCAAGGTGCTCTCTTACTTCAAACTAGCAGAAAAGTTGTTTTCTTTTTTTTTTTTCACTCAATCGATTTGTATCCGCTTTTACCCCCCGACTGATTTCTAGTGAACTCATCTAGGTGAGCGCATCATCAGTATTACGTTTGCACTGCTTAACAAAAGGAATATTTCACTAGTTTGGTGATGTTGCTGTTGAATTGAATGTACTTAATGATTATTTTGGATTGAGTTTCACATCATATCAATACATTAAATAAGCCTTTATGTTGTTCCAAAGAAAGTAAAAAAAAAAAACAATGCACTGGACTTTGTTTCCAAGTTTGAAGACATTTCACTTCCCATCCGGAAGCTTATTCAATTCAAAATGTCTGCCTGCCTTTCTTCAGGTGATTTGTAGAGTTTAAAACATTAAGAAAGTGTATGATTAAATTATTTAAAAGTATCTACTATTCTGAGTGTGTTAAAGTTATGGGGACAAGCTGTTTTGGCGTTTATACAGTGATGGGAAAAACAAGCATACTTCAGCACCTCAGAGAGCAACTTAATGTTGCAGCAATTTTATTCCTCTCATGGATTTTATGCTCATTATCTCCGTAATCTATCACCAAACTGGGAGATTAGGCAATTTAAGGCTTCTTTTTTTTAGATAGTGTATAATCAATTAACTAGTTTTGGCCCAGCTCCATCAGACGGCCATCATAAACTGCTAGCCCCAGTCTTCATCCCTCTGCCTCCATGCATGCCATAGCGACTGTATGGTCTCTATAGCATCTTTACTTTGTAAGATTTTGACACAGCTGGTCAATCACATTTTATGGTTAATTCAGATGCCATATTTAAACCTAAGTAGAAGTTTAATCTGAATGGTATACTTCCAGTTGTTTTAAATTGTCTTAGTCTTTCTCTTGGATTGATGGGGGATTTGTTTTACTGCCATCCCTGCTGGTGTCTGATGGTGCACAGCTATAGAGAAAGCCTTGCTGTACGTTTCCCATGACTGTTATCCTCCAAACTTCCTTATCCGCCATGACTACAGATTTTTATTCCTTAGGGAACTATCTTTTGTGGAAAAGCTAAAAGGTTATTAGATGGTTTAACAATTGAGTGAACAAGGATTTCCTCTTTGATGAACACAGTTATATTTGATTGATGTTTGTTGTTGGTGGCATTTCTTGTGAAATGGCATTTCTATCATAAACATTTGGTTTGGATGGGTGAAAGAAAAATACAGATTTTTTTTTCCATGTTGAGCTTGTTCTCATTTTCTACATTATTTACTCTCACATCTACGTAAAAAAAAAAATTACATATGCATTTGTTTAGTTGTCTGCAAGTCATATAAGTCTTTACTTATTTATTACAACTGAACCATTAATTCATAAAATTAGTTATAGAAAATGAATAAACTTTACTCTTAATATTTAAAATTAATTAAACCCTTTTTCTCAGATAAATCTTTAAAATCATATAGTTAAAGGGCCCTTAAATACAGGGCTGTTTTTAATCCAGTCCTCAGTGCTACTTTTCTATCAGACCTTCAAAGTGTGACTTTGCCCCATGTCTGATTAAAAGTCATTTAGAGCCGCAAATGTTATTTTTTGTTAAAGTGTGTGTCTAACATATCTGGATTTTTATTAGCAAAATCTGGCTTTGGAAAACATCTATTCTGAGAGTCTAATAACATGATATAAAAAAAATTAGTGTTCTCATGGCTTAGAATTAGTAGTTTATAAATACAATAGAGGCGGTTCACCCAATGGGAGATGCCATATTGTGTCGGCATTTTGGATTACAGGAGCCGAAAGAGGACAAACTTGTGCATTTCACCTGTATCTGGAAATGTGTTGTTGGTGAACGAAGAGTTAACAAGGAAAAACGATCGTAGATCATTCTACCACTTTCTGCCTCAAAGGAGGAACATCCAAACTTTATCTCGAGTAGAATAAATAAAAACACAACATTGAGAGTATTTTACCAGGTGGAAGCTGAGGGTGCAGCCCTTCTGCTGGACAGGTAAGATAATTCAATATAACAAAGTTGATCTTGCTGTTATGTTAGAAAAAAGGCAGAGGTGACTAGTTTGTCAGCCTGCAATGGATGAGCTCGGATACAAGTTATTAGCTGCTGTTAGATGTCCCTCGGCGGCTTCCTTAGGTCTCACACGCTTAAAGAGGAGGCAACCAGCTTGTCTGCCATTTGTAATTCATTTAGATCACCACTAGATGGGGCTAAATCTTACACGGTCCCTTTAAATATCTGATAAATGAAACCTGTTACCATAAAAATAAAAACCAACTTATTTGTATATATAGCTTTTAAAATGAACAAAACATAAAACATTTTATAAAGACAAAGCAACGATTTTTTTTCCCCCCCAAAAAAATGTTATCCAATGATAAGACATGTTGATCTACAAAGATATGTCCAGTTCTGGTTAAAGTTCAATTATTCTTTTAACATAATTCTGTTCAGAAAATTCAAATATTCTTTATAAAAAAACTAAGTTTCTAAGTGTGGCATTTATTATACTACTTTAACTGCTTCTTTACATCATCGTGCCAATATAAAGATCCATTGTAGAAGTTACAAAGGTCCACCTGTGGGTCAGGAGCCACAGGTTGCAAACCCTTGCTTAAGATGCGTCTCATCTCCAGCAGACCTGAAGCAGGGATTCAGCCACTTGATTCAAGTGAGCTGGAGGGGATGCATGTAGACACTGCAGGATGGTAGCTCTCTATCTGGAATCACCAACAGTCAAAGTTGGAAAATAAAAGCTTGTTGGGATAAACAGGAGTATGATGCTCCAATTTCTTACTGTGTGTACTCAGCTGTTCTTTCTTTCCACTCACAGGTAACATTTTGCATGCTTTGTTTCCTCATCTGGCTTTCTTCTTGCTGCTTTCCAATAAAATGTCCTCAGATGAAAGACTTGCTCTGCCCGGACCTAAAGGATGCTGGTGAACTCGATCGACATGCAAGGAGGGACAGACTGGTTAGAGTCCACATGACGGGGGTACATGAACAGAAACAGGCGCACACACACTGCATGGACAACATGTATATACCAAAACAATATCTTTTATTTGTAGTCCATCACCAACAGCCCTGGTTAGGCTCTTCTGCACCAAAGCCAATGGAGAAACACATGACAAGCTTATACAATAGATAAAAGAGAGGAAGTCAACCGGATGGTAAGCAGTACGTGTTTACATTTCCTTGCGTCTCGCCTCGCTAAAACGTTAGCCGGATACACCTAGCTCTAAAGTCTATAATACCTGACGATCCTGCTCTCTGCATTCAGCGGCACCATCCCAGTCTGCGGACCATCGTGTCTTCATGGATTATTGCTGTGGGAATGATTATTACCCAGAGTCAACAAGTCAAAAAACAAAACGGGAACACAACAGGAACAAGAAGAAGACACATAGCACGTCTGGGTAGTTAGCAATATTATTCACGCCGGTGAAGTCCTGAAGGTTTTGGCGGTGGTACGGCAAAGCTGCCGGGATCCTCACACTGAGTGCATGTAAGAAACAGAGAAAAGAAGACGCTTTCTGCAGATGGTCCATGTTTGTGCTTTTTTTAATAATACTATTATCTTAATGAGGTCATAGTTTGGTTTGTTATACACTGGAGTAACAAAGGAAATTAAAATAGACTAAAATTTTGAATAGCCCACCAATGGCAAACCGTACAGTATTTTAAGGAGGGGGGGCGTTCCTCCACCCCAATGAAAGCTGGGTAAGAGGCGTTAAGAGGTCACTGATAGAATGCCTATACATAGACACACACATACCACACAAACATACCATCTGTCAGGCACACAAACACACCCTCACGTATATACTGTACAGAAACAGTCAAAAAACAATGGAGCGAGAGACAAGATGGATTTCCACTAAAGTCTTCACAAAGCACAAAGTATTCCTCCTCCTCTCTCTGGTTCCATATCACTTTTGTGACAAATTTTTGTTTGTTTTTTAGTTTAGTTTTGTTTGTTTTTTTTATTTGAAAAAAAAAAAAAAAATTGACATATACTGTAGCATCTCCAAGCTGACTTTTAGTGTTAAGGTTGGTTCCTCTTTGATGTCAGTCATCTTTACAGTCTGATAATCAAAAAGAACAAAAAAAGTAATAACACCAAGAGTTTCTGCGAAATTGATGCACAACAATCTCGTACATTCTGCGAGTTCTTGAGTCAAAATTAGACGCGTGTGGCAAACGGTACACCAAAATGGGCCCCATCTTTTCTCCTCGAATGGAAGTGTCCTCAAAAGACATTACTAGGCAACAGGTTAGCTCTAGAGGGTTCATTTTCCTGGGCGCACACTTTAGTGTTTCATCTCATTTACTTGAGTCCCTCTGTTTCTGAATACTTGCTACACTCCATCTTTTTTTTTTTTTTTTATCTTCCTTGGTTATTTGTTCGAGAACATTCTAGTTACAAGGTGTTTGTTAGATTAGAACATTCCCTGCCCCGGACTGAACCCCATGTCCATTTCACGAAGCCTCACTTGGCCCCCCATCATCATCGTCTGCTGTGAAGGACCGCCCATGCCCTGTAGTGACATCATCATGTTAGGTGAGCCACCAGGGCCTGGGTGAGCCATTTGTCTCCCCTGCATCATCCCTCCCGGACCCCCAGGAGACATCATCCGGTGCTGAGGGCCCATCATGCCTTGGCCCATGAATCCCGGTGGCCGCATTGAACCGTGACCTGGGTTGCCCATCGGCATGTCCTGGGGGCCCATACCCCCACCGGGTCCCCCTGACATTCCCCCCATCCCCTGCATGGGCATCCCCATCCTGGGGGGGCCGTCACTCATCATGCTCTGCATTGGAAACCCAGACGGGTGAGGGGGTTTGCCTCCTGGGTTATCTCCTCCACCCCTGGGAAAATACGACAGAGTCTGGCTGGGTTTTTCTGACGGGATTATCCTGGACAGGTCGAATTCTGGGATACCAGAAGCCCCCTGCCGCATCACTTCATGAAGGTCTGCATCTCCAAATCCTCCTTGCATGTTGTTAAATTCCGGTCCGCCAGGTGTATTAGGCTTGCACATGCCCCCGTCACCCCCACCCCCATGAGGCATGTTCCCCATCCGTCCGCCCATTGGCCCCGGTTCACCCTGGAACCCCATCGGATGACCAGGGAAACCTTGGGGGCCGGGGCCATTGTGTGGGGAAAAGGGGCCTTGTTGGGACGGGGACTGGGTGAGCGGGTACCCCTGGTTTCGGTGAGGGTAACCCATGCGTCCTTGGGGCATCATTTGAGGATTTGGCATACCAGGGTCCTGTGGATTTGGTTGCATCATCATGCCGTGAGACATCATGCCTGGGCCCATGTTAGGGGCATTTGGAGAGGGCATCTGTGGGGGCATGCCATGAGATAGAGGCTGGGACCCCAAGGGGTTCATGCCCAGAGGACTAAGTGCAGGCATAGGTCCAGCATTTCCAGGTCCCATCATACGTGGATTTCCTTGATGATTCATTGCCATACCTGTGAGGGAAGAATATGAGACATTCAGTAAAACCACAATATTTAGAATAAAATCGCAGTTAGACAACGATCTGTGCTTTATGTGCTAGATTAACCAAAGCGGTGATTCAACTGTGCAGAACCACCATCTTCCTCCTTCCAAAACAGCTCAATCTCAGATTGGAACCTTATTGTTCACGGCTTTGAATTTTTTCCCACAGCATGATGTTTTATCATCGTTTTTAACAGTTGATGTGTATTTCAGGTTCTCCATGTAGACCAGGCATCCCCAAAGTCGGTCCTCTAGGGCCACTGTCCTGCAGATTTTAGAGGTTTCTCTGCTTTAGCACAGCTGATGGTGATGATTGCAGTTCAGCAAAAACCTGTTAATCAAGTATCAATGTAAATCATCTACGCTGGAATAGGGAAACCTCTAAAACCTGCAGGACAGCGGCCCTCAAGGACCGACTTTGGGGATTAAGCTCAAATTTGGTTCCAATTGACGTCACTTTGCTGTGAACCTTTACACTGATTTTGTTAAACCTTAATTAGTCTATCAATTAAAATCTTGAGGAATTCAAGTTCGTTGCTGCATACACTTCAGCTGTAATGCCACTGAAACCTGGTGTAAAACAAACAACACTCAGATTTCTCACCGTTGTTCACTGGAGGCAGGTTGGGAGAGCGAGCTGGGGGCGAGTCATCGTCTGAGCTTGCTACAGTCTTTATGGCATCGTGGTAGAGAGGAGTCGAACTGGGCATCGCAAACTTGGACATCCGGGACATCATGATGGAGAGCGGGTTCTGGGAGAGTGTCGGTTCTGGGGGAATGGTGTACGGACTGCCAGACGGGACGTTGCCTGGAAGGGACATGGAGCCAGACGGAGCCCCTGATGAGGGAGGAGCTGAAGGAGGCACGTTACCTCCTAGAAGAGGACAGCATAAACAAAATGACAAAGGGGACAAAAATACACATTTTATTTATATAAACATCAAATCAAATGCAGGTTTAATTGAATTAATTTCTCATTCTGAAAGTGAAAGTTTGACTAACATTACTTATGATATGGCTCCTTGAGTTAGTGGCCAGAAGGGGGAGCCACTGGACCATAACCAACCCCACCCTGGTCTGGTTTTAAATAAGTTACATACCACCTTGCAGCTTCTATTTTGTAATTTCTAGGTTAAATTTTCCATTACGCCATTGAAAAATAACAACTGAGAAAAATGCCCACAAAATGTTTTGAATGGTATCAATTTTAGATAAAACGAGAATATAATTTTTTTTTTTAGTGTGGAAGAGCTCAGAGGAAGAAATGATGCACACACCTGGCTCCATGCCCCCCATCATGTTTGGAGACGTGATGCTTAGTGGAGGCTTGCCGCCCTGAGGGGGCACTCCAGGACTCTGCATGGGTGGTTTTGGTGAGGAGGCCCATCCTGGAGAGGGGTTTGGAAGAGATGGAGACCTCATGTGAACAGGAGAGGCACCTGCTGATCCCATCATGGAGTGGGGAGATTTCATTGGTGCAGAGGTCGGAGGAGCTGGAGGTGCGCTGGGGCCCGTAGGACCACTGAGCATGCCGGCCAGCTGGGACGGTGTTTGAGGAGATTTTAGGTTCCCAGATGGAGAGCCCATCATTGGAGACTGAACTTGCCTCAATGGTGGAGACTTAAGTGGGTTAACACTGGGAGAGTTCCCCCCTCCTGCTTGGACATTCAGGTCTGCTGGCTTCCGGCCCCTCTGACCCTGTGAAGGACCCCCAGCTGATGAAAGATGATTGATGCGTCCGTTTCCTCCCGATGGTGTGGATCTGTGCTCTGGACCGAATGCTGGGTCAGAATGGGGACCCCTCATCCCCCCGGGGAATGGCCGCCCGGGTCCCATCGGAAAGTCTGCTGGTGTCTGTTCGGGGAAGGGAGGAACCTGCATGGGCCTGCCTTGTGGTCCCATACTCTCCATCGGAGGACCTCCACCTGTTCTCATTCTCATCATTTCATCTGGACTCATATTCATGGGGCCGTCTCGCAGTTTGGAAGGATGCATGTGAGGTCCCGGGCCAGGACCGGGGCCGATACCAAATTCTGGACCCATTTCCCTGCCCCCAATTCCTTGAAGCCTTGATGATGGACTCATAGGACCATCAACAGGCATTCTGGGAAACATCCCCATGCCGTTGCCAGGTTCCATTCCACCTCTTTGGTGCCCCATCATCCTTTGCACATCCATCATCATCCCAGGGGGGATGCCTTTCTCCCCACTCATTCCTTGGTGGAACATTGCCTCCTGGACTGCCTGGGGGTTTGGAAAACGCTCCCCACGAGCCCCAGGCCCAGGAAACATTCCTCCAGGTCCTCCAGGGAAGCCTCGGGGTTCTCCCATCCTTGGAGGCATGTCATCAGGCCAGCCCATTCCTGGCCTTGGCATGCCCTCCATCTCAGGATTCATCATGCCAGAGAAGCCAGGCATCCTCTGCATGTGAGGGCCCATACCCCTGGGACCGGGCCCCATGCCCATTCGGTCTGGGTAATGTTCTGGTGGACCACCTGGCCCGCCCCACATCTCTCCTGGACCCATCTGATAAGGGGGTGGGGGTCCCCGCATCATTCCCCGTGGACCAGGGTGCATCATGTCTGGAGGAAGGGGCCGGTGTTGCATTTCCTGCTTTTTCCTCTTCTCCTCATAAAACTCCTGCTGTAACTTCAGCCATGCCACCTGTTCTGGGGTCATCTGATCTCCTTCTCCACACCCGCCTGGCCCACCAGGACCACCTGGTGGGACCATGTCATCCGTTGGAAATAAAGGCATGTCCCTTGGACCATGTGGGGGCCCAAAGGGGGGGCCCTGTGGACGTGGTCCTCCAGGTCCGCCCGGCGGTCCAAGGCTTTGGGATTGTGCGATCATGGCCTGCAAAGGTCCCTGCTCCGAACGCCTAGGTGGACCATCTGGAGCTCCGTCGTGGGGTCCCACGTGGGGCTGCGGGTGTCCAGGAGGTGGGGCGTTTTCGTCAGGGAAAAGCATGCGCTGGATATCTCGTAGAGTCTGCAGGGAACGCTGGCGGTGTTCCAGCTGTTCTTGGGACAAACCTTCGGTGTTGGCCTCCATGTTCAGCAGCTCCTGAGCCAGCTGCTGCTGTTGCTGCTGCTGCTGGGGTGTAAGACCCGATCCAGCTGTGCCTCCACCCTGTCCTCCTTCAGCAGATGTCGGAGGGTTTAGGCCTGCCTCCGGTTGGGAGACGGGAGTCTGATCAGCAGGGGCTGAGGGGTTACCGGGGCTACTGCCAGGAATATTATTTGATTCTGTGCCAGAGGACGACGACCCCTCCTGCGGAAGAACACAAGGCGGATTCCCTTGACTTGAAGCCTGTGGCTGCGCTTGATCCGCCATTCCGGTTAAGGACGGCTTCGATCCAGGCTGGTGGCTTTGTTCTTGGGCATGGGACGGAGACTGCTGAGGAGGCTTCGGGTCATTCCGCAGGACGGCAGATGCATTGTTCTTCAACATAGCAGAAGAAAGATAAATGTGTTAAAAAACTAGATGAAGTATGCAATGGTCTCTAAAAGCTGCAGTAAAACAGGCTCCTTACCAACATGAGGTGAGATTTATCCTTGCTGATGTTTTTCATGTGAAAGGCAATGATGTTTTCTGTGTGGCCAGTGAGAACGGCATCAGCTGCCCTGAGAACCAGAGGATAGTATTCAGATAGAAAAGAGGCAGAAGGTAAAAGACTCAACGCATCATGCATACACACCTAATATAACAAAACGTTTGAATTTACCGGACACCAAGACTACCTAATAAAACATCATGCCATGGCCACAGAGTCTGAAAATATTTTGACCATGGTGGGTTGTTAAAAATAGACGTCTTCCTCTCCCCATCTATGTGTGCTTCCAGCTCTCCATGACCTTTAGCATCTAGGACACTGTAATCCGTGTCATGCGTGGATATTTACTCCTGTTAAAACTATACACATCTTATTACACTTTTAATCACACCTGGTATGATTCCGTAAACTAGCAATATCTTATCTATTTACATCTTGTACCATTAGTAAAAGGCAGACTCTGCTTTTACTGAAACAACTCTGGAATCTGCATCAGGGAACCACTGGGAGCAGAATTAACTCGGTAGTAATTTTACCTCAAATCTTTGCAATTTGTGACGGCTTAACTGGCTTTCTGAGTGTCTTTACTGTAGTGTTGACAGGAATGAGTTTGACTGTATAGGCTGCGCTAAGCTTGTTCATAGTAAGGTTAACTGGGATGGCCGAGCCCATCACTGGTCTGCCAGTTGATCATTTTCAGAAGCTGAGGTTGGTTCAGCAGTCATCCATCAACCTTGCTTGAAATGAGCCCCAAAACCTTTGATAGTGAATTCCAGACTATAGTGTTTTTAGCCTAATTGTTTGCTAGAGTTGCTGGTCTGGTAGAAACCATGTCTATCCAACAGGTCTTCATTCAGCATTCCCTAAAATGAATTCCCTGAAAACTGTTCATAATGTCCATACCCTCCTCTATATGACTTTATACCGATACAGGAACACCAAAAGGCATCATTTGCCTCTTTTGATGTTATTATATTTGAATAAAAGATGCAAGAAGTAAACAAAAGGAAAACCTTAAAAGGAGTATATATAATTTCACCAGAAGATGGTGTGTTTTTCTTTGGGTATAAAGTAATATTTTACAACAACAAAATTAAAATTAATGAGAGAAATTCGACCATGACAAGTTCCAGGGGAAACCCCAGCTAAAACGTTGATTTCTTGTTTTTATTCACGTTTCCAGTCAATAAAAATGTTAAAAGACAAGCTACCGTTCTCTGGGTTCTGTTCCAAAGGAGAGACAAGCTTTTTCTTACATGTTTGCATCCTTTGTGGAGAAGACATAAGCAAGTTTGGGGCCTGGTTTCTGGCCACTGGTAGGTTCTGTTGTGGAGCCTTGGCCTCCCAGTGCATTGTGGGAAGGCGTTGAGGAGCGACTGAGTCCGGCGTTGGAGGTAGAATGTGTGTCCTGGGGCCTCACGTCACTCGAGTTACAGTCTGACAATGAAAACAGAGAAAGACACATTAGGAGGCTTTTAACAAGATGTAATTCCATCAGCAGATGGATGACTTCAGCTTAGATGCTGCAGGACTTACTTAAAAAACTTCTGTCATCTTCATCGCTTTCTCCTCCAGAGCCCCAGTCAGCTCCAGTGTACGGCTGCCTCCTTTCTGCAACACAAATCCTCTTTGCCCTGCTGGTATCTGTAGGCACAGACCATCAATTCATCAGGAGGGTTTAAAAGAGTAAGAAACAATGAGGAGACATGTACAGTAGTAGGAAAAAGCTGAATTATCAAAGAGAATCAGGCGTCTGGGAAATAGCTAAAATAAAACATGTTTCGACCTGCATTTAAGATGAGCGTGGGGAAAATAGCCGTTTAGTCGTTACCTTTTTCCTCATTGGTGGGCGTGCCACTCTCTGGCTGCTCAAATGACTCCACAGAGGTGCTCCTTTCCCTCTTGACCTTTACCTTGGAGCTCGGTGCGGACGTCAGGCCCTGGCCGTTTTTTAGCCCCATTCCCCCCGACACGTTTTGAGCCCCTTTGGCACCCATAGTTTTGGGGTCACAGGGGGAGGGCTGTGATTGGCTGCCCGTGCTCCCAGGTTTACCCTGATTGGGCATTTTTGAGTCCATCTGGGAAGCAGTGGAGGGGGACATGACAGGAGGGGATCGTACCATGGCCTCCGTCTTCGGTTTAGGGCTGAAACACAGAGGATAGATTTGATAAGGCTTCCACTTCTTTCCACCTCACTAATCTGTTTATCATAGCAGAAGCTCTGGAAAATACACGGAGGTTTGTGGTTATAAAATAATAAAATGTGAAAGTTCATGGGCTGTGAAGTTCTACACGTTCTGAATATCTGGAAAGACACAGGGCCATCCACAAGTGGCTTCTGTTGGAGAGAACTAAGCTCAGACAGGCAGTGCACATCCAGCTGAGAGAAAACGTCCTCACCACACCCTGCTCTCTCTGCCTCTCCTCTCTTCTTAAACACATAAACATACGGTAGACTCCAGCAGGTAGCGTGAAGCAGAAGCCATGTCCAAAAACTAAACCCACAGCTTTGCACAACTCGAGAAACGCGAATACGGTCCCATAACCGGCAGAAAGGAAAACAAAACCAGAGTTTTGGCAGTCCAGTCAGCTGTTTCCAAGGACTTCAGAACCATGAGTCAGCAGGGAGAACTTCCAAGCCCGGTAGACTCTCTGACCCCCGAGGAGATCTCCATCACAAATGTAGACGTACATCAAGCAAAGATCCTCTTTTTCACATCCGCATCACGCAGAGTGTAGAACAGGCTGGATCTCAAGGACCAAAACAAAATGTTTGGACCTCATCGTCCACAGCGGTTCTCAAAAACTTCCGCCAAAAACAATGAGGAACCAGTTCATGTTTTTAAATATAGAATAACAAATGCAGGTTTTGGTGCATGTGTTTACATAATTTTCCATGAACTCCTCCTCTTTTTCTTTATTTTAAAACACACAGATAACATTAAATAAAGGTAATCTAAAAATAAAAAATATAAAATTAGAAACAGTCCTATTTTGAAAAGCTAACATCTCATCTGTAGCACTGAAGTTTCATTCAGATGGACTCAGGGCACAACTGGTGTTTGAATTGTAAAGATCACAGCACTCTGATGTAAAACATCCAAGTCTCAGTTTAAAACTAACAGTTTCTCCTGCAGCTTAAAAGGATGAGAACATGAACCCAGAGTGTCAACCTTTAGCTGCTTTCACACAAACTGCAGCCAGACGCAGCACACTTCACACAGCAGGTAATCCTCTGGATTATTCAACATATACTGTCTTCTAACTTGTTGCTCTCTGCTTTGCTCATCAATTCTGCAGATTTCCCAGATTAAGAGGCTATACAAGCACAGAAAAGGAAGTTTTATCAGCCCCTTTTCCTCTAGACGAAAACAAAACGGCACCTTCCACAGAACGTTGTGAGATTCATTTCCTGTATCTGCTGCATTTTTTGCTGTGGGGGTTCATCACTGATGAAGAGTTAACCATTAAAAAAAGCTAGCTTCATTTATAACTTGAAGAGATGGTTATTTGTGCCTCATTTAACCCTGTTACAAGAAAAAACCAGAGGAAAACATTTCTGTTTTCCTATCAGCAGTTATTTTAATACACAGAATTTATGATTTTTGAACACTTACACATTTCGTCACATTAGAACCATTAAAACTGCAATGTTTGGTGTTACATGTAAGTTTCAAAGCAATTAGTGCAAAGGTGTGGTAAGATCAAACCAATGCATGCATTTACAAGACTTTGGAGTTTATTTCAACACTTTTTCTGCAGCTTGTGTATTGTTGTCTGCAATTTGAGATGTCCTCCTCTCTCACCCCCAGATTCTACATACTCCGTCAGCGCTCTGCTCCGCCCCGCTCACTACTTCGTGCGGAGTACTTGTCTGTCAAGTTAATCAATGAGAGCTGTTCCACATCCACCGCTACTCCTCCGCACGTCACCATCCACGTACGTCTTCTCCGCCACTCACCGTTAAAATACGGAACCAAGCTATTTTTTGCTCCGATCCAGTCAGGTCAAGATCCGCAAATGCAATCACACCAAACACGAAAAAGAAGGTCAAGAAGATCCGGTTTGTCAATTTAAAATATAGTAACGGAAGATCGGTAGCTAGTAATTATAGCATAACTCTTATACATTCCAAAAAACTAACATTGTTTATCTAAAAGATTTGATGCAAACTATTGGTTCTTCAACATACCAGGAAGCAGATTTCTCATCTCCATCAAAATATTTATTTTAAACCGAGGGGCTTAAAAGTTTATTCAAATCCAGTCAAAAGAAACGTCTTATTGCAGGAATGGATGAAGAGATGTTGAGTTTGGAAATAAAGTTCATAATAAGGCAGCTTTGTATGATCCTAGTTATCCCTGTTACAAAAATCTACAACAAAAAGAAAATATTTGGACAGAAACTGCACATATTTTGATTCTAATGGGGATTTTTTAATGCGTCATATTGAATTAAGTGTTAATTTCTGCATGTTTTGCTCTTATGAATTTTATAATATCGCGCATGCTCTCGTCAAACTCTGAGGAAATCAGAGCAGAACAGGGCGGAAGGAACAGCGGAGACTGTAGGCTTTGCTTTGCACAGGCGGTCTGGAGTGCAGCGGGGCGGTGACGAGGGATGTGGGATTTCAGGGTCAGTCATTTTAGCTGGACAGCATGTGTTGATATGTTATCCAAAGCCTGCACATTTTCTATTTTCCTCTTTTTATAATCAATTGTTCCATCACTCTGTGGCCTTTAGCCTTTTGAACATATCACTGATTTGCGTCTGTGTTTTTTGTTACCTCTGAAGCTGTCTGTTAACAAACCCCTAAAGCTTCAAGAGCTGGATTAAGATTATTAGTTGGACTCCGTTTACTAATCAGGTGGCCGCTGCAATGGGTTAAAATTGATTATTTTAGGAGGAACGGAATAAAAGGGGATATGAAAAAGTATATTAACCCTTTGTCTTCCAATTCACAGTTCTGTTTTCATTAGTATTAAACATATGGAAAGCTGTTATAATTATGTAAACTGTTCCAACTACCTTAAAGGGGTGTGAACATTCATCCAAGACATTATGAAGGCAGGCAAGTGCCAGTTTTAGTAGGTAGGCCAGTCAGCTTACCTCTGCGTGTTGGTGGACGGGGAGTTTTTTAGCCTATTGGAGTGCATTGATGGGGCTCCCAGGACTACTGAACAGGGTGGAGTGATGAGCTGGTGGGGGCTGCCTGTGTGTGTGAGCGGCGCTTTAGCTCGCACGTTCCTGGAGGCAGAAACAGGATTGGTGATGTTGGACAGGTTGCCCCGGCCGTCCTTGGTCTCCTCTCTCTCCTTCTTCCCTCGCTCCTTCTTGCTGAAATGTGTCGCTGCTGTACCTGCCGCCGCTGGCCTCTCCTCCTGCACCTCCAACATTCTCCCTCTGTCCTTGTCTGAGAGCGGGTGGGGGACGCGTATGTATGGGTGGGTGTGTGTGTATGTGTGTGTGTGTGTGTGCGTGTGAAAAACAAGGCGTGTAAAAACAAAAACAATAGTCCAGAAGGCTTTTCTTGTTCTTCGTGTGTTTATGAAACTCCCCCAAGGGGGCTTTCAACGGCCCTCGGGCGCACTGTGGAGAGAAAAGAAAGACAGAGTTAACAAGGGGAACAAGGGGCCACAGTCTTTAAGTAAAAGACGTATTCAACATGAAATCACTTGACTATAACTGCAACACTAGAAACTGGAAGGTTGTTTTTTTTTTGAGTAAGTTCAAGCTCAAAGATACTTGCATAAATTCAGGGTGTCCATTAAAAAAAAAAAAACAAAATAAAAAACAGCTAATGTTGTCTACAGGATGAGGAAAAAGTAAAAAAATTATGTTTATATTTGATAAGACTAAGGTAGGTATTAACTAGATTAGAGGTAAAAATAACTATCCTTATCCCTCTTTGAATCAGCTAACAGCAAAAATAAACCAGGTTTATTACAAAACAGTTATGCATTGCTTAATTAAGAACGGTTCAATCTGTTGACTTTGAAGAAACTTTTTAATGAAAATACAGTGTGAAAAAAAAATCCAAATTAGCCGTGTTTCAATCCACAGGTTTTGAGCGGATTGAAATGGCTTTAACAGGAAGTAGAGGCTGGAAGCTAGCATGGACCGCACATCTGAGAAACATGGAGAGGTTTTCAGAATGTGTTTCCATCAGGCAGGTTGTAATTGATTTGTTAAGTCGAGTAGTAATGACAAGGTTACATGCTGTCTTGACACACTGTCCAGCTATTACAGTGCAACCAATTTAGCCTTTACAGTGATGTTTCCAGTAACAGACTGTAATGGCTGCTGCAGCCTTAAAGCTTTAGGCATTATGTGATCTGCTCTGCTCTGATGCCCCCAACAGTTAGGAAGAACTACTCAGAAGCAGCTGGATCATCAGACATTCAAACTTTAGGTCATTCAAATAAAAGTACTAAATTTTCTTAAACTGAGCATACAACACAAATGCATATGGGAAGTAGCTTTAGCCAAAACTACTTCTAAGCAACTCTTCTGCATGTGAGATTAATGTTAGCTTAGTGCTTCAGAGATTTCAAACTTTTTTAGCTTGTCAACTCAAGATTGGAGTGTTTTTAGTTCAGCTGTTTACAAAAGGTACGCTTAGCTTAAAAAATTTTTACGCAAAGCTAAATGGAAATCAGCCAAGGTACTGCATTTATTTAATGCATAAAAACTAACTCGAAACAAAATCTTAATTTAAGCCTAACAAAAAATATAGATAACACATTCATAGTCAATAAACTATTACTTTAGTTATATTATATAAAAGTTCCCTTCTTTTAGGAACGCCTTCCACTAGGTTAAACACATTATATGGATTAATTACACACAGGCTTTTATTTCTGTTAATTATAATGACTTTTCCAATTGATGCCAACATAACATTTAAGATTAGAACATTATATCATTTTAATAAAAACAATGTTTAAATGTAAGCTTAATGAAAATGAATTCCTCTTTAAGCCTATTTTAAAAACTACTTTTAATCCCACATATGAGTCTAATGGGAACATTTTCATTTAAATATAACCGTAAGTCATGACAGCAAATCTGTGTCCAATGTTAATATATTGCAAAGGACTTTATGGTATGTTTGCAAAGTGAAGAAACAATGTTCCAAGTTTCATTAGCTCCTACATGATCATCATTTTAACCGCTCACTGAGGTAGCTGCAACACTACTGCAGAAGATCAATGATGGAGGCAACGTAATGAAGGAATAAACGGAGTTTTATTCAGCATTTGCACGATAACTTGATTTTTCCAAAGTGAAAAAAGAAATTCTCCCAAATAAATCCGTCTTTCACTCAGGTTCATAGCTGCCTACAAGCGACCAATGTTCTTATTTTTCAAATCATTTATTTAGAATATTTTCCTTTGATAGACCTGGAGTTTTTCCCTCTTCTGTCAATATTTTACTGTATAACATTTGTCAAATAGTCAATATACTACATTTGACATAGCTGAGGGTGATCACACATTCTCGATTTTGTTTAGGTTGTTAACAACTATTAAAGTTAAAATATAAAAGAAAATCCTTCTTCAAAACATGTGGAACAGTCTTAAGTTCGGGTTTTAAAGAATTGAGAACATGCTGCCAACATACAAAATATCTTACAACATATCTCTCAGCTGTTACTGCATCAACACAACCTACACCGTGGTTGATGCGAGTATAAACATAAATTCTGTATTTAGTGTGAGCTCAGCATTGGTACTACAGCAACAGCTCTATTCATACCGCTTTAACTCCTCTAGATAAGTCTAACAATTAGTTGTTAAATCCAAAGGACCCTCTTTCTTTCCATCTTCTTAAGTTATGGTTTGGTTTTATTGATTTAGATTTCTATGGATGCCTACTACGGAAAAGCACAACAAGAATGTAAAAATCACAAAGACATTTGAACAATAACAACTATTAAACTGGAAACCCTGTAATATTCCTACATTACATTCATACGTTACTTTTGATATTCAAAACACCAACATCAGTCCCTCGATCCAACATGAATTTAGTCCAGAGGAGTGAAACGGTCAGTTCTGCGATCCATTCCACCCCAACCACTGCATGTACGACCAGAACCACAATCCTGTTAAAAAAGGAGCCAGGCCAGGCAGTTAGATTACATTGTCATCCTGCAAATATTCAGGAGCTCTTCCAAAAACACTCAACATTGTAACTGGCTCCAGAGTTCCCCTGGAGAGAGGCAGACTGTGTGGAGTGTTTGAGAGTGGGGGTGGGGGGTGCAGACAAACACAGCAGCTCCTGCTTGGACAGCAACACTCTGCTCTCAGCTGGTCTACAGGAGGAGATTTACAACCGTTAGCTCCACAGGTCACTGATGCACACAAACAGAAGCCGGCTTCCGCAAAACCAAATCCAAATGAAACCGTGGGACGCTTCAGACATGTTAAATTCAGCCGCTGGTATTTACAAAAATATCATGTAAGGCATTTTACTGTAATGATGCCAATTCCATTCAAAAGTGACTCTCAGAAGCTCAGACATTCAACAGGCTGTTCTGATGAAGGCAGGGATTAGACTCTAGACAAAAAAAACCTGGAGGTCTAAAGTTCAGACTGATAATAAAGAGTTGATCATTAAAATCAGATCTGCAATCAAAGTCACCGAGCTTTAGTGCAACCGGACGCCACTTGCAGCCGCTCTACATCAAACTGGGATCATCAGTCGTCAAAAGTCAAATGTGTGCAAACTACAGCCCAAGCAGGGCTGCACAACATTAGGAAATCATGCACTGACAGTAAATCAGGAACGATTATGTGCCTATTTTCATCCATGACTCCGTCAATCCATGACCTTTAGCATTTTGAGCTATGCCATTTGCTTTCTGCATCTGCTGCTAGACTGTCCAACTGGTTAAATATTATATCAGTATATGAACATTAAGTTCATAACACTGGGAATTTACTAGCAACAAATATTGCTCTTCTTACAGTTATTTGCAACTATTAGACATGATTATATTTTGATATTAGTTTAGTATTATATTGTGGTATGTATTCACACTTTGCATGTAGATGATACATTTAGAAAGCTGGGGGGAATATCAGTCCCTTTGAATTCCAAACCTAATAGAGAAAATATTGATCAAGATGCATAAAAAGATATGATGGAGGGGGAAAAAAGATTGCTAAAAATTTGGATTTATTACCACTGAAAGCCAACAATAATGTTGCAATCCTGTGTTTTTCTATGATGGTTTAGCCCTGTTATCTCCTGTGCTATACATTCTGTATCTCTAGGATTTCACAAAAATGGGAGGAAAAAAAGATAAGGAGAGCTGGAGACAAAAAAAAGTTCACTCATCGATTCTGATTAACTTTGTTGTAGTTTTAGAAAGAAAAAATGCTCATCAATGGAGTAAATTGAGCTTAGCAACTGGAAATGGGCTTTTAAAAAATTGGGATAAAGCGAATCAAAAGGAGGATTAAAACATAATGAATTTTTATTATTACTGTTTTAACTGATGATTTTATTATTTCTAGACACTACTTAAATTCATTGTAAATAAACTAAATCTATATTTTTAAAGGCTATTACTTTTTGCTTTTCACATTTGTGTATCACTCAATTAGTAATTTTCATGAATGAACGTTTTATCTTGTCATTTTGAGCCCCCACTAGGTTATGTGCTGTTGTCTGTAGGACACATGTATTACACTGGTTTATTAAATATGAAAAAAAAAAAAAAAGTATTTTACAACATATGTGTCCTACAGATAAATAAATGTGAATATTGAAGCTTTTTGTTTCTTATTTCGAGCATTTTCTAAGCTTTTTAGGGGCGTCACATTATTAGATAATTATCCTGAGATCAACATGTAAACCAAACACTAAACAGGAGGAAAAATTTTCAAGTAAATAACAGTAAAATAAATCTTTTGTTAATTTAAGTCGTATGAACACATTGACCCATTAAAGGAAGATATTTTAAACCTAACTCGCCTATCTGATGAAGTGAAGTCTAAGCCGAGCCAAACTCCCAGTTTCACTTGCATGTTCTGCTACAGAAATTTAATATGAATCAGAATAATCTTTAAAATCATGAATGCATCAAACTGAGATAAAGGAAGAAACTTTACTAGTTATCTACACGAACAGTAAAAGACAAAAAATAAAACATGCATGGACTTGATAATTTTATTGCCTCTCTTTTTCCTGTCAGACTTAGTTAATAGTTAACCTTCAGGGTTTCTACTCAATCATTTTTTAATCTCATCCTTTGGAATAATTTGTAGCTTCCTGGATATTTAAGTATAAAATATCGACTTTGACCTGCTTACATATAAGAAGTTTGCATTTGTTTACAGGTTACTGTTAAAATAATCAATGGCCGAGGATATTGCACTTAAAAACTGCTGCTTTAGGCTCCGTGCTTTTAGATGCAATAATACCAGAGCAGGACAAGATGGTAGGAAGGAAAGAGCTGAGTAAAGCTGGGATTTCAGGAGAAATTAATGTCAAACGTACTATTAGGATTGCACAGCACAGGAGCCTCAAGTTCAATATAATTCTACCTCAATAGATACAATAAGCCAAGTAAAAATTAA